CCCGACATGGCAAGGCCATTATACAAATGCAAATCAGTACCTGCTGCAGTCTTGCCTGATCTATACATCAACACTTCATGCATCGCCAATACAAATCCTAAACAAAGATGTTCGATCAAACACCTATTCTTCAATCAATCATTGTGAAACACCTGTGCATGCGCTGAAGATATCTGCACAAATGAAAGGATTATATCGGAGTGTAACAATCAACAAGAATTCAAAATTTTCATATATAATTCTATTAATACACAACTAATTTCTCACCCACGCATATGACTACAAACAGAAGCGTGCAAGAAGAGAACCAAACTGATGGAGAGTCATCACCCACTGCAAACGTAAAAGAACTCAAGTACATGATTAGTAGAAAAYGATGGGTAATAATATCACAGAGGAGACGTATGATTATCCAAACCTTGTCCATCTCAGAACAAGTTTCTGAATCTTGGCTTTGCAGGAACCACAACGAAGCGATCGAACCAACAGCACACGAACTTAACACAGACTGAGTACAAACGGATAAATAATGATAAGATTTGTATCAAGAAGACGTATGATCACCAAATCTTGTCCATCAAGAAGACGTACCATTAAATCTTGTCCATCAAGAAGACGTATAATCATCAAACCTTGTCTATCTGAGATGAATCTTGGCTTTGTGATAACCTCAAGGACCAGTGGCGATGGCGTATAATCATCAAATCTTGTCCATCAAGAAGACGTACGACTAAAATCTTGTCCATCAAGATACTGTATAATCATCAAATCTTGTCTATCTGAGACGAATCTTGGCTTTGTGATAACCTCAAGGACCAGTGGCGATCGATCCAAGAAAACGTGAACTAAACCTATTCGCCAATCAAAAGTAGAACCCCGTAAATGATAAGATCGATGTCCATCAAGAAGACGCATACTAAACAAATCGCATACATCTGGACGATTACTATGACCGGTGGCGATCGATTCATCAAAACGTACAAGATTCATAATGATAACCAAGATTGAAGAAGGATGGTAGGGTACCGAATCAGCAAATGCAGGTGAAAGAAGGCAGTGGATAGGCGAAATCAAAGAAAAAAGCGGGAACCCATGGAGAGAGAGAGAGTGTGTGTGTGTGACGCCGGGAGAGCGAGAGATGAAATGAGTCGTATATGTGATGGAGGGTCTATATTTATACTTGAAAATAGAGAAAATTACAATTTTTGTCCCTGTTTTTTCCAGAATACTACAAATAGCGCCCCTAAACTTTAATAAAGTACAATAACAGTCCAATATTTTGTATTTTACTTTGAACGTGATCCTTGATGCTAACAGAATCGGTCAGTATGTCGTTAAATGAAAAGTATTTTTGTTCTTTTACATGTATATCTATGTACGTATTTTGTGTGTCTACAGTTGTTTGTGTGTGTGCAATATCTGGGAATCCCCGTCTTCGTTCGGGTCGGGTGAACCAGGTTCCCCACCGGGTCGGAGCAAATCACCATCCTTAATTACAGGTTTGTATTTTATTCAATTTTTAAAATAGAGGGACTTTATTTGTAATCTTATATAAATCACATGAGCCAAAATCGTAATTTGCTCTTCAAAATAATCCAATCCACGTCTGATTGAAGTTTTAAATTTTTATTTTAAAAAGAATTAGATTGTTGTAACTAATTTATCTTCTTGAGTTTAATAATATTTTTTATATTTTATCTCTTATTCAAATAATACATGTATCCTCGCATTTCTTTTCTATATGTATACTACATTAATAAGCATATAGACTTATATCTTAAGTACAAGTCTTTAAGCATATAGTACCATTATTTTATGCAAGAATTAAAAAATCTCTTAATTACAAAATTTTTGCACAATTTACAAGTTGTTTATGCAACACCGAATCCTAATTGGGTCAAACTTGTTTATGCACAATGTACAAGTATTCATGTCTTCCTTTTTCCTCGATTTTTCTCTTTTATTTTAGATTTTATATTTGATCTAAAGTTTTTACTCTTTATCTTCTACCATTATAATTTCTTCTCTTCTACGTTTTTCTATCATAAATTTATTTACTCTTCATCTTCTACCGTTACAATTTCTTTCCTTCTACAACTCTTTATCATAAACTTCTTTGCTCTTCTCCATCTCTCGATCCCGATAAGAAATTATGGATTGACTGTATAGATGGTGATACGATTCTATCTATCTTTCTATACATCTATAGAAAGATATGAAGCAATAATTATAGGTTTTTTACGTCCATTTTCTTGATCTCTCTATCTACTCTGTTATCTGCGATTAGAAGCAAACAGAAGGAGATTAGAGAAACCATATAAGAAGGAACATTAAAAGTCTATGACAAAATCAGTTGTTGGTGTGTTTCCTTCATCTATGAAGTTCCAAGAAAACCAGTTAGATGCCCCAATATCTCCATGAGACTGGATACACAAAATATGGAATGATATGTTTTCATTTTGAATTACTACCTCAATTTTCCACAATATATGGACTTTGAAGTCGATTTAGATATCTCAGATTGACAATTTTGTTATTTTCATTTTGAAGATTACAGATTATTTTTGTAAACATTTAATTATTTATCTTCTATTACATTTTTTAGGACTCGGGATATTCATAGAAGGAAAAAAAGAGATAATTCCCATCTTTTTATATCATCCATATTTATATAAATATTATGTTGTTACCAAACTTATTTATTAATACTAAAAGGGTACTCGCAAAATGCAACGAGATAAATCTCCATTTTAATGTTTAGTTTTTATTCTTTGTCTCTATCGATATAATACGATTTTATGTGGTTTTGAGAAAGCGATAATGTTTTTATTTTTAAATGAAATATAGATTTGAAGATAGCATAAACAATTAAAAATAAAATAAAATTGATATTARTATCAAATTAACTATTTTGATAGTTCTCCTTTTTTTGGTGCAACTTATTTAATTCAACTTTTTATTACAAACAAAGTAATTTATTTAATAATATAATTTTTATTAAAGATAATAATTAAACATTCTGTTAGAAACTCAATTATTATCTTAATTATATTTTAGATAATGTATATTTAAAGTAGATGTTTATTTGCAGTTAGTTACACAAATTTAAATTGAAGCTTTAATAAGTTGTATTTACGTAAAATTACTTGTAATCTTGAATTTTAAGTAATATGCATCAATAAACAGTATTTCATGCATAAAAAATGGTTTCTAAGAGTTTTTGTCAAATTTTTATAATATAGTATAGATTAAATAATTACCAAACATGACTATTGTAAATTCAAATGACCATAATACCCTTATAAATAAAAAAAACAAATGAATTTATGTGATCGGTTGTAATTAGTTTGTAAGATTTGTACAAATTGGGACGATTTGTATTTGATCGCTCTTCTCTCTCTCAGTCTATATTTATCTATATTATCTTATAAAGCATTTGATTAAAACTCTTAAAAACTCTTAAAAACTCTTAAACTCGTTCATCCCTAAACAATTTCATCTCTATCCGATTTCATCTCATATCTGAATTCGTGTAACTAAC